CCACTTCCGAAACCCCTGTCGCCTTACCTAGTTTCATTTCTCTAACTGCTTTCTCTACTTCCTCCATCGTCACCTTCTCTATAGGTCCGTGTGTGACCGCGGATTCCACATCTCCATCCCACTCATTCTCTTCATTCATCAACCTTTCCATATGAGCTTTCCCCACCTGAGCTTTTTCCTCCTCATCTATGCACAACTTGCCAGATCCATCCCAAACACATCCATTCCCTATAACATCTTTCCTATCCCTCATTGACTGCTTTGCTACTTTGAACATTTTCCTCGAACTCACATCAAATTCCATTTCCTTCATTAACCTATCTGATGCTTTCGTCATTGCAGTTGCCACTGCCTGTTTTGCAACCTTCTTAGCCTTCCTATACTCAGACTCCGCTTCCTCCGTCATGTCCCTTCTCCATACCCTAAACCTCTCCTTCTTGACTTCCAAAACCCTTCTTATATCTTCATCCCACCACCACGTCTCACCATGCCTACACTTTCCTTTCGTCCATCCACATACTTTATCTGCCGTAGCCAACACACAGTCCCTGTATCTCTCCCAAACATCTCCATCCTTACCACTCTCCCAATTTAAAGCCACCTTCACTTCAAATGCCTTCCTCACCTCTGCATCCTGCAACTTCCATGTCTTTCTCTTTGCCACAAACTTATCCTTCTTCCTCCTCCCCATTTCTTTTGATGTCACATCCATCACAACCATACTATGCTGCAACATACCAGGTATCGCCTTCACATTCTTCACATACTTCCTATGTTTGGCCCTTACCAATATATAGTCTATCATCGATCTATGTTCCCCTGACCTATAAGTAATCAATCGCGCTGGTTCCCTTGTGAACCAAGTATTCCCCACCACCATGCTATGTGCATCCGCTAACTCCAACACTACGCCCTTCCTCATTCCGTATACCATATCCCCATCCCCCATGTACACCTTCATATCCGTCTGCATCTGCCCCCACATGACCATTCAAATCACCCAACAACACCACAAACTCATTCAACCCCGCTTGCCCAATCTCGTCAAAAACATCATCATAAAACCTATCCTTCTCCTCTTCCTTCCTACTTTGTTGCGGAGCATATCCTGATATCACCCTCACTATTACTTTTCCAAACACCATCACCACCACAATTACCACATTGCTTCTCCGCCTCACTTCCAACACCTTCTCCACCAACTCTTCTCTTACCATCACACCAACTCCTCCCTTACCATCATCCCCCTTCCACCACAACTTATATCTTCCACCTTTAGCCCCCACAAACCTTGTACCCTCACCCTTCCATCTGATCTCCTGTAATGCAGCCACGTCAACCATTCTCCTCTGCAGCTCCTCCACCATTTCCAAACTTCTTCCTGTCAACGTGCCTACATTCCAGGTACCAAACCTCCAACCCCTTGGTCTACAAGTAGTCCTTCCATCTATAGTGCCTTGCACCGCCACTCTATAGAGTGGGGTGCCAGTAGCCAGACCATCCACAGGGCCTTGCACCACAACCCCATGGACTGGGTCTCCGGAGATTCTTCGCACTCTCTTCTGCCGGATACTGAGGGCCATTGTTTTTTCCGTCATCATAAGTATTATTATTTGGCTAGTTTTTACACAGGACGCCCTTCCTTACGCAACCAGTTATAAGCGGTGGGCCTAGCCTTTGATGATCCAACATCACTCACAAGGCAGTGAGGGAAGGAATAAAAAAAAAAAGGAATAAACTATCATATGCTACCAAAATATGCTATATTTTAACCTCAAAAATTTAAAAACAAAATTTATTTTAAAAAACCTACCAATTTTCCTATTATATATTATTTGAGGCTTTATTGACATCGAATCAAGGATTAAAGAGCATTTGCAATATTTTGATGGATTTTCTTCACATTTTTTTTTATTACATCAATTATAACATTTGTAAAACCCGGTTTTATTTTGATTGGTTCTGTCCATCTATAATTTAAAAAATAAATTATTTATTTTAATATGAAATTATCCAGGTAAAAATTTTTTGCCCAGCTATTTTTTTGACTGGTCCAAAGATGAAGTGCATGTTAAATAAGAATAAGTTTTAGGTTTTTATAAGCAAAAAAGTTCGTGCTGGTTTGTGCTGATTTAAAAAACAAACGTGATTAATCATAATAAAATCATTATTTTGGCTAAACTATTCTGGAATGATCAAAAGACGGCCAAAAATGGTGCTGGAATTTTTGTCAAGAAGTACTGGATGTTAAAAGGATTAACTCACGTCTCATGTGGATCAAGCTTCGTCTAGAAAAGCATACAATGACTATTCAAATCATCCTAACCGCATCAAATCTACCGAAATCCTGCATCGTGCTGGTTTAGATGATATATAGGACGAATGCCGGCAACACCGTCTGCAGTGGTTTGGTCATGTCAAACGAAGTGAAAACTGCTATAACTTCTTCTGGTCAGAAACAATGGAACAAGACATGAAAGCTCCAAATTTAAATAAAATGAATACAACTGATCACCTAATTGGCGTAAAAACTTGATGGCAAAGAAAACAACGTCCTACCTCAGGGGAAATGAGTCTCTGGACGCTAAACTAAGATTGATTGATTTTGGCTATCAGTATACATTTCTTTATATATACTAGTTTACAGAAAATCATGATCAACAAAATTTTACTTGTTCAATGATCTCGGGTGTGGCAGTGTTAGTCCACTTTTTCTTAAAAATTGGTATGCACGAGGACCATGAAAACGCAGCTGCATATAAAAGGTCTTGTAACTATCATCATATACTTTGTTAACTCTTTTAAATGGTATGAGTTTTTTATCTAGAAGGATAAATAAACAAAAAATTAGTCAAAATTTCAATTCATTTTGCTATGGTTATATAGCATAAAACCTTTGTATGTAGCTAATTCATTTTTTAATTTATTACATTCATTCATAAGTTTTCTTATTGTTGCCTGCAGCAGTGTGATTCTGGACTTGTAATACTTTGATTGCCTTTGCTGTTGCTTGATGAGATGGGCATCCATTGAGTAAAACATCTAAATATGATTTTAAATTGAAAGTAAATAGCTGCATTTAAAAGTTTATATATATATATATATATATATATATATGCCCAATAAAATAAACTCTTTATATTCTGTATTTCTTATGACAAAAAGCCATTTTAACAAAAGCATACTAATAATAATAATAAACCCATAATACAAAAAAAACATATTTTCCATTAGAATAAAAATTTGCATTTCATAAAATGTAATAAGAAAATGACCAAATCCTTATCGTTTTATTTGTTAAATATCTGATAGTAAGCCGGCAAATGCCAATGTTATTGTGTTGTATATTAATATTTGGTTTGAATTAATCAATATTGCTTCAGCAATCCTTTATTATATATATAAATACTAAATTAATTACCTCAGTTTGTGTAGTTGTGGTTTTTGTCTTTTCAAATACCACACCAGGAAATACTGTTGGGTAGGCATCTTTCTTTAGAAAAACTTTTTTATTTGACTTTGAAAAGGATTTTGAATCAAAATGTTTACTGCATATATATGATCTTTTTCTTTCAAAACCTCTACACCTGCCATTCAAGGCATTGATCCACTGACTTTTTATAGGTGATTTTTGAGGAATGCTATAATGCATATTGCATTTTGTCAAAAATGAATTATTGAAATTTATATCTATTAATCCATGGAGAAAAGTCAAGTGAATCATAAAATATGCAAATGATATAAAAATATTATTAAGATCATATTATTACCTGTGCATAGATATATTTTGGTCTTTATATGTCCCATTACAATTATTTACTATACACTTTAATGGCATTTTTAATTTAATAAAAGATAGAAATTATATTCAAAAACTAACTTACTGCTTATCGTCTGCTCAATTCATTCCAAAGATCAGTAATTTTCAGGTAGCATATCCAAAAAAATTTATACAATTATTTGATTCAATAGCAATATTTATTATAATTGAAAAAATATATTGATAATATTAAAATTTAAAGTAACATCAATATGGTATTCCACACATTGAATTATATAATTCCATGATTCCACATTACTCTTTTAATTAATAATAATAAAATAAAAAGATTTATGTGGCTTGTTATCTCATTGAATTATATAATTCCATGTGTTATCTAGTTCAAATTAATTAACCAATTATTTGTTGTTGATAAAACAAGAAAATTTCGATGCCAGTACAAACGTCGATTTTTTAAAGTACACGAACGAACATACCAACATTGAAATTTTTGAGTTTTTTTTAACAATAATTTATTAGACAGTTTAAAAAATAAAAAGTCAAAAATTCAAAATAAAAATACAAAAAAAGCCTCTCTTCTTCTACTAGTATGAGTCTAGTTTTTCCTGGCACAATGTAACATTTGTAAAACTTTAAAGTTTAAAGAAAATGACATTTATAAAATCAAAATGGATCAAAATTCAGTTAAATTATTAAGTTAAAAATCGATTAAAACTGCCATAGAATGATTTCAGCGGTTAAAAATGTTTACAAGAATTTGCCGCCGGTTACACAAAATTTAACATGGAAGAAGCTAAATATAGATTGGAAAACGGAAAAACCCATTGACAAATTGGTGCTAAAAAAGTTTGCTTCCATGCCTCCTGACCTTGAGATGAAGGTCAACACTATAAAGCCATTCTTATATATAATTCAATGATCAACCACTACCGCCAATGGTACAATATACAAGCTAAGTATTGTATATATTTATATAAAACAATCATTATTAACAAGTTAATAGAAAAAATAAACAATAATTTACATTCCAAACTTTGATTAAAAATTTTAAATTATTTTGGGTTTTTAACATCGATTCACTTTTACACTTATTTACAACATAGTAGAGTGCCCTCTGTTTACATCACAGTCTCCAGTTTCAATTGCATTGAGGCGCTAAGTAGGAGTAAAGCCATAAGACGTAGGTTCAGCTAATTTCACATTCTGTTCCACTGACAATATGATCCTGTACTTGCTTAACTTTCTGTATCTAAATTCTTTTACACGTGGCATATTTAAATGGATCCTTAGAATAATAACAGGAAAGTGCGAGCTGCTGCGGATTGTTTACTCCAAAGAACCCGATTTACTCAAAATTTTAAACATTGGTTAGGAATTTATTTTTTAGCATTATAATTTTAATAATAATAAGTATAATTAAATAATAATAATAACAATAAGTATCGTTATAATAATTTTAGCAACTTCAACTAGGTTTTTAAATTTCATTTGTGTATGATGTATTTTAAATTTTAATACTAGCTTCAAAAGTTTAAATTTAAAAATGAATAATGGTAAAAAAAACTAGTTTTTGTACTGTGCCGTACAATGAAGGCAACCTGCTAAAACCTACATTTTTAGAATGCGTAGATTTTCATAGAATATATGAGACTGAACTTAGCTCCCAGCTACAACGACCGACCTATATATTATGCTCGCAGAGAGATCGTGAAAAAAGAGAGGACCATCTGCTAATGCACGGCAAATGTTCATATATGTTACTAAAAATTGTATAGGTATATAAAATGCTTAACTGATCGTTGAAATGTATGAAAAACATTTATTCTAAATTTAATTAATTTTATCTATGTAAACAATCAATCTTCGTTTGGGTCCAGAGACCCGGTTTCCCGAGGTAAAACGTTATGTATGTAAACAACATGTTATTAGTGAATTTTTGTTCTTTTTAGTAAATAACTCGAATAACTTAGAGGATGAAACATTTATATCTAATGTTATAGAATTTTACCATGCTGAAGAAGTAGCTACTGCTGTTAAAATTTTGAAAAATGATTTAGAAATATTAAAAAACGATAACTTAAAAAATGAATTTCAATTTTGCGGGAATACTACTAAAAGGGATAAAATTCTCGAATGTATTTCTCTTCTGAAAATATTTAAGGTTAATGGTTTTCTTGAAAAATGTTCTTTTTATACAAGTGCTAATTTAGCAAGAATCCGAATGTTAATTGGCTGAATTTAAAAATGACAACAAAGCCATGTTTAGTATGCAACAAACGGCCATAATGGAGGCATTAGATACAAAACATACCTGTCTACTGGAAAAAATGTGCTCTGTTGTCTCAAACCATATGCAAGAAATAAATAAAATTTGTGCTACAAACGTCAAACCAACAAATGTGTCTGTTAATAAGGCACCTGTAAATGTTGCAAACAATATAAACAACATATTCAAAGCAAATTTAACAAGTGAAGTTGAAAATAAAACTAGTTGCAAAGTCATGAGCAGATAGAGCTAAAGTTTTAGTTGCTAATTCTATGAACGAATCTAATAATGAACTAGATTCTGATGGCTTTCGGCTTGTGAAAAAAGCAAAGAAAAGTAAAAAGTCTGTCGGTAGTCCTATGATTATTAAAGATAAAAACAGTGAAGAAGACACTAGAAATCCGACAAAGTGTATGGTACTGGTGTCAACTGCTTATTGAAGGCATCAAAAATTATAGAGAAAAAAATTACTTATTATGTGGGCAATGTCAAGCTCGTGCAGCTGAGACATAATTGAAAACCATTTGAAAACTAACAATATACCGTTCAATCCTTGCTTTCCCGTTTTGCGAAAAAGAAACACAACGGATAATGTAGCAACTGACTAAAACATATCAATTGAGTCAACAGCTTTTAAAATAATTTTACCAATTAAGGAGCTACCAAAGTTAACAAATCCAGATATTTGGCCCCAGTACAACGTTCCTGCGTGAATGGGATTTTTCATTGGCAAAAAACAGGAAAGAAGTTGAAGAAAAACAATTGCGGACTATTGCCACGAAACATGGTGATGCGCAATGAATTTGTTAACAATTTATTGTATAGCCAAACGCCATATTATACTGAAAATAGTTTAATAAATTTTATAGCTAGTTCTGAAATTAATTTGTTTACATCATGTTTGTCCACTTTGCATATAAACGCTCGAAGCCTATACAACAAGATGACGACTTTACAAATATTAATTAATCAATTTTATAAAATATTTAATCTGATAGTTTTTAGTGAAAATTGGTAGAATGAAATGTAATTATCGGCTCCATTGATTGAATTAGAAAATTATAAGTTTATATTCAAAAAGAGAAATTTTGGTATAGGAGGTGGCGTTGGCATGTTTGTAAGAAATGATTTGAATTTTTGTGTGTGTGGATAAAATGTTTAATGATGATTTTATAGAAATGTTGTTTATTAATGTACGATCAAAGAAATGTTACAGTTATAAATATTTAAAAGTAATTGCCTTAATTCGACCTCCTTATACAAATTTTGATGTTTTTAAATAAATTATAAATTGCCCTCAACGCGTATAGGTTGATCTGTGTATATCTGTGCGCTTGAGTGTTTTCCCATGTGTGTGAATGTAAAAAGCTTAAATTTCTATATATAAATATGTTTGTATGTTGCTCAACAAAAACAATTGGTAAACTTTGATAGATGCTGATATTTTATAGTTTTAGTTTTTCTTTCTTTTCCTTTCTGTTTATATTGTCCGTATATGAGTTTCACATTTTTTTTTCTGTTTATGTATTCTATTATAGTTAAGGCACTGATACAAGTACATGTTTATTTTTTGTGCTTGTGAATAATATAAATGTTAAATATGTAAGTAGGTGTATGTGCGTGAGTGTGTGTGTGTGTTTGCGTGTGTATGTTGGGTGAGAATGCATGTGGGTATGTATGCACGTGTGTGTGTATGTATGTGTGTGCATGTATGTGTGTGTATGTATGTGTGAATGAGTCTATGTGTGTATGTGCGAGTCCATGGTTAAAACAATTGCCATAAAAACTATCATTTTGCCCCTGCTCAACAGATAATTTTAGTATACAGGGTCTCGCACAGAAAGGCACTTAGCAATGTTCTCTAAAATACAAAATGAATTAAACTTTTGCAACAACAACGATATATTTTGCTTTATTTATTAACGTAACTGACCAGAGGGCCCAACGGACCACTTACCCAGTCCGACCAAAAAACATGATAAACTGCAGTTAAAATAAACAAAATGGCGAATAGAAAATAAATGGATCCTTGAAAATAAATGTCATTATCTCGATCTTTGCTGTTCAGTTTGACATGTATACAGTGAATTAGAAATTGGAAAAAAATGATCATATTATTTAAATTTTATTTTTGTACCTATGTTATCAAAAAATAATTGTGTTTGTTCATCAGCTGGGCCAAATGTCTCCACGCAGATCGGAACGAAGATTAGCGTATTGATCTTTGTACTTAGTATTCTTAAAATCAGCAGCTTCTCTGCAGGGGAACCTTGCTCCATAGCCGTGTAATTGATGTACCTTTCGGCTAACGTGTGAGGGAACGTCACATCCCATGATAAACAGTAACCTTGGTACCACGGTACCAGATCGGAACGAAGATTAGCGTATTGATCTTTGTACTTAGGGAACAAAGTTGATCATTTCCGATTGTGATGCACGACGTTATCTTTTCTCAATTATTTTCTGGACAATTTTCAGGGAGTGTTCTAACAGACGTATACCCCAATATGATGAACAGTTCAATGGATCACCTTTCAGTCGGCATTGAGCAATTTTTCCAGATTTCACGACTAAGTTGTAGTAACGTTTGGATACCTGCAGTACCAGATGCTTTGATAATGTCATTTGTGAGTCCAGATGGCCCTGCTGCCTTTCCATCCTTCATAGCTTTCAGAGCTTCTGTAAGCTCCTCTAAAGTGATGTCTGGAATCGGACCTTCGATGGGCGGAGCGTCAAAGTTGACATTGATGGGATTTGTTTCGTTTAACAGACGATTGAAGTATTCTCTCCACTGTAGCTTGATCTCATCTCATTCAAGAACCATCTCATTTTTGTCGTTTTTGATACATGAGGCACCAACTATGTCTTTTTTCGTACGCTTTGCTTTTTTTGCTATACGATACAGAGATTTCATTTGTTCACCTTTGCTTTTAGTGAGCCACTCTTTGCACTGATCTGTCCGAGCCAGTGCAACTTGACGTTTTGCATAGTTGTTCTTCTCACGGAAAATTTTATGTTCATCAACAGACTTTGATTTTTGCCATTGCTTGTATGCAACTTTCTTTTCAGCTATTGCATTTTGTACACTGTCATCCCACCACCAAGTGTCACGTTCATGCTGACGTTTTGTACCAGTTTTCCCACAAACTGTAGTTGCAGCGATCATTAAAACGGTTTTGTATGTACTTCAATCTGTACTGGCTTGCGATTGGTGGTCTAACTGTGTGGCGACAATCTGTTGAAATTTTTCTCGATGAATATTGCTTTTCAGCTTCCACGTTTTGATTCTCCGAAGCATTTGTTTAGACTTATGTTTTGACAGTTCGACAACCAGGTCTGCCACAAGGAATCTATGTTGGGCGACACAAGATTCGCCAGGTATAACTTAGACGTTTTTGAATAGCCTTCGGTGTGGTTGCTTGACAGCAAAGAAATCAATTTGCGTGGCTGATGGCCCACTTTTGTATGTTATGAGATGTTCCAGCCTCTTTCTAAAATATGTGTTCAGTAAACAAAACCCGTGACTTTCAGCAAACTCAAGGATGCGGTTGCCATCTTCATTCCGTTTTCCATTGCCAAAACCGCCATGTACGTTGTCAAAACCATCTGTTTTCTCTCCAACGTGGCCATTGAGATCGCCTCCAATCAGGATTGTTTCAGATTTTGGTATTGTTGAGATGTAGTCCAGAAGTCATTTTTCATCTCTTCTGATTCGCCTGTCTTCGGTGCGTATGCAGAAAAAATAATCATTGTTTGCTTTTCTATGCGAAGAAAAAATAATCACATGAGACGTGAATTAATTCTTTTAATATCCAGTACTTCTTGGGCTAGCGGTTCTCTGACAAAAATTCCAACACCATTTTTGGCCGTCTTTTGGCCATTCCAGAATAGTTTACATTTTTCTTTGTCTGAGTTGACATGACAGACACCACCATTCGATTTCCATCGGGTTTCCTGAAGGCAGCAGATGTCAATCCTTCTACGCTCGAGCATTTCTGCGATTTCCATGCTTTGGCCAGTCAGTGATCCAACATTGAGCGTTCCAAGTCTAAGTACCATAGAGGGGCCATTCTGAATTTTACTGCAACATCCCTCCGCTAT